TCACCAAGTTGCCCAGGCAGGTCTTGAACCCGCGGGCTCAGGCAATCCACTCACCTCAGCCTCCCAAAGGCTTAGGATTACAGGCTGAGTCACTGAGTCTGGCTGTCCCTACTTTTTAAAAACAAAAAAATTGTTACTTTTCTACAATGAATGACAACTCAATTCCAAATCAAGGCTATCTATAAACCATTCCAGGAAAACACCTGCCTGTGATGGGTCCAGCCATACATAGCATTAGAGGGTACTTCAATAATAAATCAGACAACCAACCACAAAGAAAATGAGGTTATTATTGCCAAATAGGAGGTATACATGTGTCAATCAAAATAATTTTCATTCTTTGCGGCCTAAAGCTTAAAAAAAAAAAAAAAAGCTTGAGATCCATTCCATCCCTTCTGCTCCTTCCTAAGTGAGGCCACCTGGTGGACAGAAGCAGAACTGCCGCCAGAAGGAGCAAGAGGGGCAGAGACAGGTGATGCAACTGGGAATATTATTTACACCAACCCAGGATCATAAGAGAACATTGGGTTCCACCACATATACAATAGTTTGGATGAAGCTAAGGCCAATACCCATGAATCAGTGTTCCACAGGCAGTGATCCAAAAAAATATACTAATGCAATCATGCTATTGGAAAAGTACTGGGGCCTCTTATCAGCAAAGAAGGTAATTATTATTTGCTTCAGGATATTTCTCTTAACCAGGTGCCTGGCAGTGACACCCTGGCCAAGGCCCCAGCCAAGCCCAGTCTGAAGGCCTTGATTTCCTCCAGACTTCCAGTACTTCTATGCCATCAAACAGCCAACATCTTTGGCTATGACATGGGGTTCTGTTGGTGGATTCCAGTGGTGGTAATATGTGCACAACAGCCATTATATTTGCAAAGGGCTGACCAATAGAATTATCCAAGCAACCTACTACACAATCCCAGGATGATTTTTTTTCACCTAAAAACTTTAGGTGGGAGACAACCCCAATCTCAGGACATTCTGTTAACTTTAGGACACAAGCTCTCTGAACATGGCATTTGCACTAAGCCATGTGTGGTAGATAGAACAAAGTGCAGTCTGTATTTATGGGTCATGAAGAACACTAGCTCAGAAAAAAATTCTTAAATTATAAGCTTAACTGACATTGGAATTCCCTAATATATTAATCTGCCCGCTATGCCACATAGAGGTTTCCAGAAAGTCTCTGAGTTGACCTTTCATTGGCTTGTTAGTTTTTTCTAAACGATTGCTTCCCACCCCGAGATTCCAAAGGAGATGGTAAGAAGAAAAAGGAAGAGAGAAATAATCTGGGTTGGCAGGGTAAAAAAACACTACCAGGAAAACAGCACAGGACAGAAGTAAAAACAGCTCCTTCAACAGAGACTTGCTTATGTGGAGGCGGAGGCAGAGAAATCCAGGTAGTCTGGGGAGGGAAGGGAAAAGGGGTTAAGTTTGCTATCAAAGCTGCACTTGAGTGTCCACTAATTATACTTCCATTAAAAAACAAGCTGAGTTTGAGACCCACTGACAATAATAGCTACCGTTAACAGAGCATCAGCTATGGGCAGGCAATGGCTGTACCACAAATCCCAATGTGCAGGCACTGTCACTGTCATTTTACAGATGAAGAAACCAAGGGTCTGAGAGACTACCTTGCCCGAGGTGGCAGAACTAATAAATTGCAAAGCTGGGATTCTAACCCAAGTCTTCCTGACCTAGAGACCAAGTTTGTTCCCACTATAATGACTGGTGGGGCAGGCAGTAGGGTTGTTGAAAGAGTGGAGGCTCGGTTGAGTGAGTGGAGGCTGTCAGGGGATTGGCTGAAGCTGCCAGAGAGTAGTAAGCAGGAAGAAAGGGAGAGGGGCAGCAGTGCTAATATGGGAGAGGTCCAAGGTTTTTCCAACACTTGAGGCAGGGGAAAGCAATAATGGACGGCCAGAAGAATATCCAAACCGTCCAAACGAACTTTATGAGAGGGCCGTGCTTACCCACATCATTCCAAAAAGCAGCCAAGCAGTCCTCAAAGAAAGCCATTTCTGTCTAGGAAATAGGAAATATTACTCCAACCAGGTGGCTTTCAGAATGGAATATGCAGGCCTGGGTATACAATAGTTCAAAAAAAGTATGAAGTCTTGCAATAATAATCACAGTCACACCAAACCTTGAGCTCCTGGGGCTTCACTCACTGGCACCCTTAATTCACTCAATTCCCCTCTCCCCCATTCCTACTGTTCTCAACTTTTAGAAGAATGAGGTCAACAACAAGAAAAAAAGCTCCTATCAGGGATTTTGTTATAAAAATACAACTTGGAAAGGATGTTCTGAGTTCAGCCCACACTCAGCCAATCTCTCATCCTTTCTGCACCTGTAGTTCAACTGAGCGAGAAGAGATCACCCTGAGACCTTGTGAGCCTCCATTAGCAAAGAATGGCCATATCCCACCCAGGGTCTGCTGGCTTCCCAAGGGAATATGGACTTCAACGTCTCTGTAGAAAGATTTTTCAGCTACAAGTGTAGGGGAGATAAGGGTTGGTAGGAAGGGGTGGGGGAGAAGGAGGAGAAACCCAAAGGGTTTTCCTCTTAACCCTCAGTATACCAGAAAATTCCTCTACACAGGAATAGCAGTGTCAAGCCTTGCAGTGTGTAGAAGTTTGTGCTGTACGTGACATCTATAATCTGATCTAATATTCTGAGTAATCCTTGAGACTCTCAGGGTCCTTGTGTCCCATAGAGGGGGCCCCCCAAACAGGAAAAATTTGCCTAGGGACTCAACAGCCCAGCAACCCCAACATTCATAAATGTTTCCAAACTCCTTTTCTGACATTTCACAACTCACAACGTAGACTAGACCCAGAACTAGCGGGTACAGCACCTAGCTGAAGAGCCAGGCCCTTCACTTGCTCTCCATTTAGTCTTAATGGGACTTTTCAACAAAACAGACATAGCTGACTCTACCTCTCTGGGAAGCGACAGGGTCAACATAACGAGGACAGGGCCAACAGCCTCCATTTCAGGAGACCCTAGAAGCCAACATATTCCTTTTAAGCTAGAGGACGTGTCTCAGCATTCCCACCTGTCTGTTCCACTTCAAAGGCCAGACTTTCCAGGACAAAAACCCTTCCTACTTCAGGTTCCCACGGGACAGTGGACTGGAAACTGGACAAAGTCTGGGTGGCAGAATCCTGGGGCAGGATCTTAGGGTGGGTGCAGTAGGTTGAGGGGGAACATCTCACTTCCCCTTTTGTCACACTTGAAGCACTGTGTACCATGCAGCCAGAAGGAAACTATTTATAGGCAAGTCTTCCTTATTTTCTACGGGGAATGTTCCACCCAAAGATTCAGCAATGTTGCCAGAAAAACACAGGGTCCTGTGTCAGGAGAAGCGGAAAAAGACACGATGCGAGAGGTGCAGGACAAGCCACAAAGCAAACACTGGGTTAGGAGCTGGAAAAGGAAATACAAAAAGCATATTGAGTGCTAGAGCGTTTGCACAGCGTTAATGGGATGGTTGAAAAACATCCCTCCCCACTTACTCCTCCACCATGGGCCCCCTTCCTTCTGAAGCTCTGTCTAGTTCTAATTACTTACTTGTCCCTTTTTCTGAAGAGGCTTGGGGAATAAGGAGGCTGAAATGCCATGGTTTAATTTGTCCTTGCTTCTCGCTTATCTTCTCTCTTCCCCTCTGGTTCCACTTCCATGTGGAAGACTATACACAGGAAGGCCACTGCCACTTACACAGTTACTTTGACTTCATGGAAAATCCCCAAAGTCCAGAAGGAGGGAAGCAAGAAGGAAAGACAGAGACAGAGAAAGTGCCTTGTTCTCT